TGTAACTGAGTCAGGTAGCTGGCCGGGCTTGGGGCCATCAGACCCAGGAGCTGCTCAGGACACAGGGGACACCACCCCGCTGCTACCCGGCCATGATGAACAACCTTGTCCCCAACAGAGCAGCCCCCGGCACCACCTGGGACCTCTCAGCGTCTTGCAGGGGAAGAGGAATGAGTCCCACCAGGCTCAATCCCACATGCAACAAAGCGCTCAACAATGGGGACCTCTTTGAAGTCATCTCCAGGAAAGGTGATGTGGGGCAGTGGCCCCAACGGCTCTGTGGTCCTCCTTCTAGGAGAACTTGGAACGCTTCCCAGCTGGATGGGGTGAGAAGCCTGCACAATGTTCATGAGACCATGGGTGGAGTATGCAAGGACCACAACATCTCCCAGTGCCAACAGCCCCCAAGCAAGGCCAAGCCATGCTAGCCAGCAGATAGGGCACACGATCACCAAGAGGACATGCCTCAGAGGGCCCTTTGGTTCCTGCATCTCCAAACAAGCAAGAGACACCAACAGGAAACAAACCACAGGCTGCGGTGATGGGTGTGGGGCAGCAGGCTGGGCTACCATGAGGCGGTGAGGGGGACAGCCAGCCCCAGTACCAGCTCCTGGCATTGAGCCTGTGTGTAGGGCTAGGGCACCTCACACGCTGTCCCAAGAGTCAAAACCATGCCACGTTCAGGTCCCTAGCCCCACGCAGGAGCCAGCCAGCTCTCATTGGGTCCTTCTCTTGAATCAAGACACCCACCAAGCCTCAATGAATAACCAGGGCAGTGTCTCCCCCCCAGCTGGGGCAGTCAATGAGCAGAAAGCTGCAGGCACCACCACTTCCCCAAAAGTCTCTGCAATATGTAAGCATCTGGGGAAGATACAAGTGCCTCTGACCGACGATGCACGGGGCTGTGGCATGGCACACCACCCACGCTGGATCCTGCCCAAGGCGCCGGATGCAGAACCGGCAGGGCAGAGCGTGGCAGACTCACCAGCAAGGGCCACCTACTCAGATACAAGAGAGAGGAACAAGCAGAGGGCTCCTAATGAGTCTGAAAGGAGATGTCTGATACAGGTCACCTTAAACACCTCTTCCCCTTCATTATTAAAGGAAGATGGACAACCAGCTCTAATGTGGATGCCCAGGATAGATATCCCCTCCTCCCCACAATCATAAAATTACGAATCGTTTGGGTTGGAAGGGACTTTGACAGACCACCCAGTCCAACCCCCCTGCTGTGCGCAGGGACATCTTTCAATGGATCAGGTTCCTCAAAGCCTCGTCCAACCTGACCTTTTCAATGATGGGGCAACCACAACTTCTCTGGGTGACTTCTTCAGTGTCTCACCACTCTCATCGCAAAACACTTCTTCCTTACGTCCAACCTAACCCCACCCTCTTCCCATTTTAAAACTGTTGCCCCTTGGCCTGTCACGACAGACCTTGGTGAAAAGTCTCCTTCTGTAAGACTCAGGTGAGGGTGACAGTGACCCTCACACCACCGCTAGCTGGGGCACCACAGCACTTCACCAAGGCGTCTCCAGATGGAGGACAGCTCTGTTAAGTCAAATCCCGACTATTCATGGTCTTCGTGTGACCTTCTGGAGACAAGTCCAGGGTGACCTGTCCAGGGCTGGCCACCAGCCCCTACAGCATTACCTGGGGTTGCTGGGGCTGGCAGAGCCTGGAAGAGCCTGGTCAGTGCAGGGACGTGCTGCTGCCTGCTCCGAGCATCCAACCTGCCTCGCTGGTCTTAGAGCCTCAGCCGGCCACCACTGCACTGAGACACCAGCAGCGGCTGGTTATTCGGGCTCTGTAGATGTGCAGATAAAGCTTAACGGCGGCAGAGGGATTTAGCCCATTTTTTTATGCCACCATAAATGTTTAATTCTTTTTTTTTTTTTTTTAGTGCTTGATTTTAGATCAACATTTAATCACAGCTGCAGCCCCTGTACAGGCTCTCCAAGGACGCTCCCCTGGACATACCAGGCTGGCAGACCAGGATCACTGCCGGCTGCTCTTATCCCAGGCAATGCCACAGCTCCCCGCAGAGGGGGACGATGCTTCACAAAGCTCTATGAAATTTTTCAGCCACATATAAAGGGCCACTGAATGGCCCCTCCTGTACGGGTATCAAGCCCCGCAGTGTGATGACACCCCACCAGGACCAGGGGTCCACGGAGATGCCGAGCTGGCAGCAGCTCTGTGTCCTGGCCACCGCCACCTCCAGATGGGTCTCCAACACAAGGCAGGTGCCGGTGGTTGCCCTAGGGTTGGTCCAATGCAACGTATCACCAAGGCTCATTAACATAGGGCAAGGTTTAACAACCCAGTCATTGACCCAGGTGACCTTGGGACATCAGATGAGGTCCCAGAGTCCCTGTCCGAGCCACATACGGCCACAATCTTGTTCAACCCTACCAAGGTCAACACATGGTGCAAGTGGGTATCCTAAGAGAGGAGAGGATCTGCTCTGAAAAGGGGATGGTGATGCCCTGGAGTGATCCACATCTGCCCAGCTACCCATCCCCACCAGCACAGTGCCTCTTTTCAGCCTCAACACACCTAGGGTTGTGCCCAGGAGGGATGGGGACCCATCTTTGGTGGGACCCAACTCTATCACATGAAGAGCCCTGTTTCAGTGGCTCCAGTTTCTCAGTCAGCCGCAGAATGGGGAAACCAATCAAGGGGGTGACCGTTTCATGGGTTCCCGGCGCTATTTATCATTCCCAGACCGGGCACAGTGCCGGGAGAAGGGAGTGACTCTGCAAGCTCTGAGTCTATTGACCTGCTTTAGGACTCTTTGGAAGAGATGAACTTTTTTTTTTTTTTTCCCTTTCTCCCTTTTTCCAGATCACTGACTCAGCAAATTAGAACAAGAATATAATTTAGCAATACAGCGGTTTTTGAAAGACACAGTCCCCCTCTCCTCATCCCCACCGCCCAAATAGATTTTTTTTTTTCCCCCTTCACTATTCATTCAGAGCTGATGCTAATTGAAAAACGTAGAACGTGGCTAAGAAAATGGTGGGCTGTCTCTTTGGGATGACCAGAGGACGGGCAATGCCCTCGTGCCACGCTGTTCAACCCAACTGATGTCCGGGTGACTTTTTAGCCTTTACCGGATCTGGGGGGGCACTCAGCAGCAGGAAGAAGCATGCCAGCACAGTTGACAGTGGGGTCAACTCCCAGAAAAATCAAACCCAGCTTAAGCACAACATGGGGGGGATCCAGCAGACAGGTCTTGGCCCAGACCACCCACAAGAGCAAGAGGCAGACTCTGTCAGAGCAGTATGCCCACATGCCACCCCTGCACCGCATCCCAGCACTGCTGGCACCCAGCCCTCACCCATGCCATGCCATACCATGCCACCAGCAGCTGCCCATGGCCCCAGCTGAATTTCAGACCCACGTGATGACCCAAGTCACCGGATTTTTCCTGCACTACCTATGCAAATATTGTACCTCCTCGGGGCATTTGGCAAGGTGGTACCCCAACCCAACAGCGGCTTGCAGTGACTCTCCTCCAAGGCCAAGGGCAACACCCATGGGTGGACCATGGTGGGCAGTGACAGCCCAAGTACCACTTCAAAGCCTCACACCAAGAGGATCCAGGCATCCCTGCGCTCAGTAGGTACGGTAGGAGCAGGGATGCTCCCAGTCGAGTCCGGTGCTGAAGCAGGCAGGGACCGCAGCTCAGCTGCCACCGGAAAATCCAGCTGGTGCCTTATGGACTCATCCTGACGGTCCCAGATGGATGTTGGCCCAGGGAGACCCAGCACGACCACAGCACGGGAGATGTTGCCCTGCGCACACTACAGCTGTTTACCACTCGAAACCAGGGACCACTGCACTCCTGCTCAGAGCGAAGTTTGAGCTAAGGGGCTGGGCTCCAGCTGCACCACGTCCGCAGGTTTCACCGTCACCGATTACCCTGATAAGCCACCTCCTGCCTTCCCTATTCTCTGACCCGATTGCCGGGTTAGAAGCTGCTCCCTGGCAGAGGGGAGCTCCAGCCCACCCAGGTCAAGGGATGCCAGCACCGAAATTCAAGCAGAGACCCGCTGCTGCCCATGTCTGCAAAGGGAAGACCGAAACTCAGTATGCCCAGGGACCCCAGGGGGAGACCCCAGCCCTCCTCCCCAAGTCAATCAACGCCAGTACATAAAGGAGGGCGGGGACTGGGGGCACTGGGCAGAGCACACATCTCATGGTGAGAATTGTTAATGGAAAAGGGAAAAAATAAAAAAGTAAGAAGTACCAGGTGTTTTATTATCTAGGGCAAGATCCGAACCCAGGAGCGCAGCCCAAGGAGGGGTTAGGGTGCCTGAGAGGGGCTGGTTACCTCCAGTGCTGCAGAAGGCTTCTTTTTGAGTTCTTCACATTTTCGGAATTTGCAAATCTGGTGGCCAGTTTTGCGATTCCTACAACTGCTGCACTGCTCGCAGTTTATCCGTCTTCGGCAGGGCGGGCACATGCCGCATCTTTTCCGTTTCTTTTTCCCCGAATTGATGGCAGATGCCAACTCATTCTGCATGGGATACTCTGCCAAGCCAGCCATATGGAGCGCACTCTCTGCCAGAAACACGCCGGCAGGGGTCATAATGAAAAGGCCTGGGTTGATGGGAAAAGCCCCCAGGTAAGGAAAATCAGAGGGGCCGTTCATTGTCTCTGCAGCTGAGACTGCCTCCATGTCAGAGATACCAGTCCCGTGGTCGCTTGCGAGAGGAAGATGCTCCTGTACCACTCTTTTGAGCATTTCTGTTGACTGAGCAAACTGTTGTAGGGCGGTCTGTCCTTCTGAGGAGATCTCCGACACCCGGTCTAATTTGCTCAGCATACTAGAGATGTTTTTGTGCTTTGAGGTAGAATGACTTTTATCCACAGTCGCTTCGTTGCCATTAGCTAAGGGGTTGCCTTTCTCCAAATGTTCGCTTATCGAGCTGCTGCTACCAAAGGTGGAATAGTGGGAGAGCGGACGGGACTTCTTAAGACTTTTGTTCAAAGGTTCACTTATTATTCCACTTTTGTTCCTCCTCTCGGAGTTGACGGGGGGTTGAGAGTCATCTTGGTTATTTTTTTCCGTCTCTGGCTTGTTCCCAGTGTCTTGATGGGAGCCCGAATTTGACATGGTGCCCAGAGCACAACAACAAAACCAAACCCAAAATAAAAAAGTAAAAAAAAAAAAAAAAAAAAAAAACACGAAAACCCACCCCCAACGCCAAAGTGAAAGACCCCCAAAGCCCTTCTGGTAGCACCGGCCCTCCAGCCACCGGGGAAAGCTCAGACGGGAACGCTCATCAACGGGGCGTCTCCTCCAGCGTCGGCTGCAGAGGACTTCAGTCCGATGTCAGTGCAAAGACATACTCTGCGACTCTGGTACACAACATGCGGTTCTGGAAGTAGAAAAGAAAAGAGAGTTAGCGCTGGCAAGAGACAAGGGGCTTTTCAAAGCAGCTCTTACTCCATGAAAGTCTCTGCGCCATGAACAAAGAAACTCCAGGGAACGGACCTCGGTGGAGATCCGTTCCGCTGCTCTTTAAAAGGGTCATCATCCAGATAGAAATGGGGGGTCACAGGGAAAGTCCTGGCCTGGTAGCAATGGCACTCCGATGCTTAAAGGCTCTCTGTGCCCGACTCTCCTCCCCGAGGGACTGCAGCCCCAGGGAAATCACGGGGCTCATCTCCTGCTCCGCTCCAGCGGTGTGCAGCCCCCCATGCTGGATGGGACCACAGGTACCCACGGGATGCCCCCAAGTTGGTAGCCGGAGCTTGTTGTGAGGGGTGCCCTGTCCCCACCCTGCAGCCACCCATGTGCTGCACCCTGGCTCC